CTTTTTGTTTTCCACTGAGTCATTTTATTTGCATGTATGTATTACATCCCTAGAAAAAGAGTCTCTGGATTTTCACTTGTGTGTGTTTTCATCTTGCTTCTTCATGGTCCATGATGCCAGCTGAGGTTGTCAGGACAATGAAACCAAACTGGAGGGAAGGGAACAGATTTTTCTGCCATTTTGGTAGATCTTTCAGCTGTACATCAAATCTGGGGCTGACTGCTCCACACGTGTTTAACTTGGCCTTGAGGTTCCCAACAGGGTTTCCGTCTCGGTGATCATTAGTGATTTCAAATTCCCAATGTAACCGTGCTTCATCTTTTGGGTTGGTGAGCACCAGGTGCCTCCCCCAGGCTTTAAGCTACGGCCCAGCAACCTCCTCCCAATGGGCTGTGGATCTGTCCTCACAGCTACCTGCTGCCCCATGTCTTCACCCCTAATGGAGACTTTGAGACCTTGGTGTTTCTAGTTCCTCATCACTTAACTGTCTTTTAACCTGGAAAAGTGAAATATGTTACATAGAGAGAAGTTGAGATTTATGGTGCCATCAGCCCAATTACAGTATCCCTCTAAACTGTTCTGGAAAGGCACAGTCAGGTTGAAGATTTTCTGGGAAGAGCTCTGTGGGGTTTCATGCCTTTCTTTGGGGCTCAGGGATCTCCCTTCTGTGTGTCTTGTGCTTTCCATGGCTTTGCAGGGGATCCTAGGAGGTCCCACATAGGTCAGTGCACTGTATGTATTGGGTACAGAAATGAGTAAATGGTTGGAAGCACCAGAAAAAAAAAAAAAAAAAGAAACAAAAAACAAAACCATGCTTTGTCATCACAGTTAGAAACTGGGCAATGACTTTGGAGCATGGACTAATAAGACTTGACTTTTGCCTCTCTTCTAGGCATAGTGACTGCTCTTGAGAGCATCCGCCAAGATATTCATGTGACTGTTAAGGTGGAACAGAAAGATGGCCGAAAGAGTGTTTTTGTTTTTTTATGAAAGCAACTAATGGTGAAGAATAACAATTGCCTTGTGGACTCATCACCTCCATTCTTGTTAAGTTTTACCTCAGTGTGAGTGTCAACATGGTGAAAATGTCTAAGTGATGTTATAACAGTTTTAACCTTGTGGATTCTGTGCAAGGGCCTCAGTGACCTCAGGTGTTCCCCAGACCACACTTTGAGAACGGCTGCTCTGAATAACCCTGGGAGAGTCTCCCTCTGGTCCTGCCCTGGCCTCCTCCTCACTCAGCAGAATCCTTTTCCCTGAGATGCACTTCCTGCCTCTGAAAACTCAGCTCTGACTTTAGCCCCTGAGTGCATCTAGAAGAGACCTCACCTCCTGGAAATGTGCTGGCAGAGAGGGTCCCCAGTCTGGGAAGGGAGGTGGAGGGACAGGGATTTCCCTTTTGTAACTGGAAACAGTTTTCCCCTGAAGGCCCCAGACCCAGGCATAACCGTCTTTGATTTTGTGACATATCAGCTTCATATGTATTCAAATCCCAGACAGAAATCTGATGTCATCTGTAAAAGAAATCATGTTGGTCTTTTCACTTTACATGTGTCTCATGCATCTGACTTGAAACTCACAAAGTATGGAGAGTAGTACCACCCAATACTACAGTCTGTGCGGAAGCAATTATTCTGTATCCGCGCTGTACAGTATGGTGGCCATTAGATGCATGTGGTTCCTGAGATGCAGGTGAAACTTGAAATGGGGCTGGTGTGCTGAGCAGTTGCATTTTTAATTGTTTTAAATTAGTAGGAATTTAAGTAGCCATAGGTGGCTCATAGCTACTATTCAGACAGGATGTACCTAGAACACTCTTAATTGTCAGGATCCTCCTCAAAGAAGATACTACGTGACTCATAGGTGTATGTGTATTAAATTTGCCTTTAAATGGAAGTTATGAAGTTGTCTATGTTGGTCTGAGACATATCCTTAAGATACAGCATGAAAGTTTAATTAACTTGCATTATAACAGCTAAAGTGTACAGACATTAACCAAAACATAAGGTCATATAAGTGTTGAAAAAAGCCCATTACTGGAGCTAACTGATGTCTCTATTACTTTGGCTGTCTTCTTGGTGTTGTTTGCATTTAGCTGGTAAACCTAAGCAGGCACATAAGTCTTCACTGGGCCCAAGTGAGAGGATTTACTGAACACACATATAACAGATACCTCGTAGGCTCTGTACGTACTTATAAAAGTCACAAAGCAGAAGATGGACATCTTAGATTCCACCACCTTAGAAACTTTATGTGTTCTCCTCCCCATACTTTTACCCAAATTCAGACAATTCTCTACATTTCCCTTCTCCTTCAAAACCCTCTGCTCTTCATTTCCACTGAGGGGAAAATATACATGAAATGTTTACAAGTCTGGGATGAAGAATTCTCTAAACATGGTCTAATGATGAAAACCCATAAAGAAGTACATGAAATTTCAGCATGTGATCCACACACTCACAAAGATACAAACACATGTGCATGATCAAAGTAAAAAACAGAAAAACAATATTCACAGACAAAAGGGTAACAAGGTTCAATATTGTTGGGCCCAAGACCACCAGGAGGACCTGTGAGCATTCAAGTTGGATCTATTACCTATTGCAGTGAGAGAAAACACACCCTTTTGGGGGCCGTGGGACATCTTAATATGAAGGTGTTAGAACCTATGGGACATGGGCTTTGGATGGGAGTTTTGGAGAGGATCCATGGATGTGGGGTCCACTCCCAACTGCATGTTGTCAGGACATGTACGCAAATCCTATGGCTGAGCATCTTGGTGAGTCCCCTCTCCAGGCAGGCCAGACCAGAGTCAGGAGAGAGCAGTCATGGTAAAGAAGCAGCGATTGCTCACATTGGCTGACACAGGGAGTTGTGTGTTATTCTGTGGGTTGTTTAGTGCCTTGTTTTGTCTGTAATGACACAAAGTGAAGTTGTGGTTTCAGAGTGTCCTTGTTCTGATGCTGATGTTTTGTGAGGTGACTGACTCATGTCCCACAGGAGAGGAATATGGCCAAGTGGTGGACATTTGCCAGCTTCTGACCACTGAGTCCAACTGTCAGTGTCAGACCAGCTTCTGATATTGGGGGCTGCTGGCTCTTCTCTCTTCAATTCCATATTTTAAAATAGGTACAACCTATTCAAAACATAATTATAGAATTGGTGTTTTCAGTAACTTTGGGTAAATACCCAAGAATGGAATTGTTGGATTATATGGCAGATCACTAGGTTGTACACCTGAAAGGAATGGAACATTATGGGTCAACTGTGCTCACGTTATAAGAGAGAAAATGAAAGAAAAAGGAATTAAATAATTACAAAACAATTTGGAAAGGAAGAAACGAAATATCAAACAAGTATATTGTAATAAGTAAACAAAAACAAAAATGAGAATGTGCACTAAGAAATGGGAATAGAACTTAGAATATATGAACTTGACACAGATGAAAGTAACTGATGAGAGTGCCCCATAGAAGGGTCAGGAGAACACACCATCCTAAAGTTGATGGGAGGGTCGCCTAGATGGCTCAGCCAGTTAACAGACTCACGTGTGATTCTGACTTAGGTCATGATCATTTGGGTCATGAGATCCAGCCCTGAGTAGGGCTCTGCACTCAGCAGGGAGTCTGTTTGAGATTCTCTCTGTCTGCCCCTCCACCCACTCATACTCTCTCTCAAATAAATAAATAAATCTTAATAAAAAATAAGTAAATGTTGATGGGAATGAACACTGGTATATAGTTTTTAATGGGTGTTTTTGAAAAATATCTCCATAATTTTAATGTGCTTATATTGTGACACATACATATTCTTTTAGGAGATTATCCTAAGGAGTTAATCACACATGTTTTTGAAAGCATATTTTCAGGAATGTTTCTTGAATTGTGGTTTATGAAAACAAAGAATAAAAGTTATGTAAGTATTATAATCAATATGATAAATTGTGAGTATAAATAGTGGAACACTTAACATGTCTTGGGGATTATCATCATGTGTTTTACACAGAGTGTCAAACTTCATCATGAAATAAAACTCATGAGGCACCCCATAGGGGATCCCTTTGTACAGACAGGCAAGGTAAGACTTGGAGAGAAGGAAGTGGTAGAGCCAGGGTTCAGCCCAGAAAGTTTGCTCTCAGAGGCCTTGTTGACTTGTCTTTTATTGTTAGCTGTCCTTCAGGAAGGGGTTTGATGTGCACTCCATGCGAGCAAGCTGTTCCAATGTTCCAGAATGTTCTGCGATGGGAGGATGCTGGACTCAGAGCCTAGGAGGACATTAACAAGCAATATGACTCAGCTGTTCAAATCACACTAAAGTCCGTCATCTCAAGGCCTCCAGGAGCTTAGGATCAGCTGGCCTCTGGAGCTACAGCACAGAGCAAGAGTGACACCCTGGTCACAGGACACTGGCAGAGTCATGTGGGAGATGAGCATGGAGCAAAAATGACAGAAGGCAATGTAAATCGCTCCTGAGATGAGTGCTGTGTGGAGAAAAGTCATGATATCATGAAAGCAGAATCCAGGATACCTAGCAGGTCCCCTACCACTAGCTGCAGTCTCATCTACAGGATGCACCAGGCATATGGATATGAAGCAAAAACACAACTCCACACAGTGCTGTACGATCATAGAGCAGGAGAGAGCTGTGGGGAAATAATAATATGACCATAGAAATGAATAATTGAATGGATACACTGGATGATTAGAGTTGTCCTTCCCCAAAGTCATACAATCAGGAGGGTGATGGCAGCAGGAGAGAAGACCTCTTTGTTTCTTAATCAAGTGATTCCAACAAGTTAATAATAATTGTTTTATAAAGAATGGAGATATGAAATGATGAAAAACAATTTCAGGAATATTTCTTCAATTTCACAGGGAAAGACCTACCCAAATTCTTACCTAGAGGAGAGGAGACCCACACCAGGACACATCACAGTGAAATGTCACAATGAGGATGGAAGGGCAAACACCCTGAAGACTCCAAGAGACAACACAGGCCTATGGGCTGGAAGACACGAGACAAGGCCCCCAAATCCTGAGGACAACTCTGTCCAGCACAAAGTCTCTGTCACGTCACCATGTGACTCAGGGTGAGGGCAGCCTAAAGTCTCCTCAGATGTGAGAGTTTCTGTTCTACTTTCCATGTTTCCTTCAATGGGACACCAGTAGGGAACAAGGGACAAAAGATGGAGAAAACTAAACAAGGGGAGCATGTGGGATCCCAGCAACAGGGAGCCAGCGGGAGAGAGGCCAAGTGCCCCTGGTAGGTGCTTCAGGGGGTCTGGGTGTCAACCCTATGCCAGGGGTTTAGGCATCCCCTCCCTATGGGGCAGGACTGAAGACTGCAGGCCAGGCGGCTGCACAGACACGAAGATGGGAGAAGATTGGATTGGCTCAAATATGTCCATGAGGATTTACCCAATAGGATGGGGTGGGGGAAGGATTTAAAGGAGCACAGTAGAAACTGAGCAAATGATGGTAGAAGATAGTTATTTACTCCAGGGAAAATATAAAGTTGATTCAGGAAAGAAATCATAATCATAGTCTATGAAAGGCTCAGTTGTGACTAGCATTTCATGATCATAATCATGCAAACACTGCACATTGAGCTCATCAAAATTATCAAATAATTATATGGGGCAGATGAGAGAGTGTGAAAGAGGCGCCAATTCAGTCAAGATGACACATAAACCTGAAGACCAGAGAAGGAGTTTGAGAAGCAGGCTATTTAGAGGCATAGAAGCAGTAATCAGAGAATCAGCTAGAAGAACTAATGCAGATGGTCTCTGAGATTCAGGAAATAGGGACATGGAAGCTTGGGGACATCTGTCTTAATATCAAGGACTGTAAAACTCTGTGCCTCTATCCATTTGCTACAAAGACAACATGGTGGGTGAGATGATGGGTCAGGACGAGTTCTGCACAGAAGCCATAGAGATGGGGCAGGAGTTGGAGGACCCATGGGAGCAAATGCTGGTTTTTTATAGGATGATTTTGTTTTGATTTATTTAATTTTGTTTCCTGTTGCTGAATGGGAGTCATCCCCACATGTTTCTAGGAGGAATGGCTGAGCCAGAAAAGAGGGGGAAGTGCATGATACAGGTGAGTGAGGGGCCATGTGTGCCCACATGGAGGGGGAGCCTAAGACAGGAAGACCTTTCCCCCATCACTGCTTAGAAGGTGAGGACACAGGTGCAGAGGTGGGGTGAGGGGTGGGGAGAGTGTGCAGTTCTCACCTGAGTCTTTCTTTTCTGAGTGAGAATGAAATGACTAGGGAAATGGCATCCAGGTAGAGCAGGCCTAGAACCCCTTGAGCTCTGTGCTCTTCACTTTATAGAGACAGACTTCCAGCATCAGGAGGACATATAAGAGACTAGAACCAAATGCAACAAATAGCTCAGGTGTGAAGACTACCATCCTTTTTATCTTATAATTTATCATCTTATCATTTTATCATTTTTCTACAGTGAATATATATGACCCTTTGTATTGTTCATCATACATACACATCAGAATCAGAATGTAAATGTTTTATTTACACTTTAAAAGGGAAAGAGATGGTAAGAAAGATCAGCTCAGGGCACAGAGCTAAAAGGTCTGGGCCTGCCTGTCTGCACTCTGTGCAGGGGACTCACAGAGCCTTTGCTCCATGTTTCAGGACCCTGCTCTCTGGGGGGCCAAGTAGGGTCTTCCCCTTCTTTCTGCGGTGTGCTCATTAACTCATTTATTACTGTCTTGTGAGCTTTAGTGCTTTCTAGATTATGGTTTTTCCAAGTTACATGACATTTCAAGCTATTTCAGTGGGAGAATTTGTCCATACAATCCAGCCCACATGCTTCGGAAATGGAAATTTGAAGGTAAAATAGTTCAGTGAAAAGATGATTGGTCCTAAAAGAGAAGATCAGAACCTGATCATTCTGAGGATGATATGTCAGTTATTTGCTATTTTAAAGTACTTTATTTTTAGAAACATTATTCATGCACATACAAGATAATTCAATAGATATTCAAAAATATACAAAAATAAGGAAGTTATGTAGTAACCCCTCATTCCTCAGTCCATTAAGTTCTTTACACAAACTCAGCAACATGACCCCAGGGATGGTGGGTCAAAGCCTCAATTTAGGATTCCTGAGGTGGTGCACAGAGTGACAAAACTGCCTATATGATGGTGGATCAAAGCCCCCATCAGGACTCAGTGAGAGGGGTGTAGAACAGTAGTTGCATGGCCCTAGTATCATTTGCTCAAATCTCCAAATGTGAAACAAGGGGTGGAGCACAGTGCAGCTGCATCTCCAGCCCTTTGTAGATGGTGAGGTTCTGTGGGATCCTAATCCTGGAGAGTGGAGCACAGCAGGGACTTGGGCCACTGGGGGCAGGTCTCACCACAGTGAGAGCTCCAGTGCTGGGAAGGAGATGAAGTGGCAGGACTCTGGACAGCTCCATCAGGGGGCTCAGCATTAGTGGAGACTGTCTGTGGGGATCCTTGGTGGCAAAGGATGCAGATTCCACAGGTGAGCAAGATGGCAGGAGTCCTCCTGTTCTCTTTTTCCTGCAGGTGAAATCATCCCTCTGAGGGCATCTTCCTTGTGCTGATCTGCTCCAGACTGAAGGATGGGGTGACATGAGTAAAATGTTTCCTGCACTTTTCTATGTAGCCATCCTTGGGTTTTGTACTCTAAAGCATTCTGCTGTTTCCTCAGGGTAGTCCAGAGCTTTCCCAGAGACATTGTCATCAATTATGCAGTTTATTGTTTTTATTGATGTTTTTACAGAAACAAGGATTGTACCTGATTAATTGATAGATTGATATTTTTATCTTTTGTTTTTTTGTGTGTGTGTGTTTATTGTTTTTCTAGAGAGAACAGTATTGGGAGGCTCCTAGTCAACCATCATCTGACTTCAGCTGGAACATCAGTAAGACTGTTGCCTTAACGTCCTTGTCTAGCAGGTTTGCCATCTGCTTGTGTACTGAACATATTAGAGGACAATTGTACAGATTTCTTCTACCATCTACTCAGGTCCTGGCATCTGTCCCCATGTGATGGGCCTTGCAGTCCTTTAGCACAGGTGCCATCCATACTGTTGCCAGCCAGAGCCACTCCCTCTGGTGCTGCCCTAGACTACATCCCTTTTTGTCTGATTACAAGTACTTATCCAGCAATTCTTCCCCTGTTCTCTTTTTCTTTTTTTTTTTAAGACTTTATTTATTTATTTGACAGACAGAGATTACAAATAGCCAGAGAGGCAGACAGAGAGAGAGAGTAGGAAGCAGGCTCCCCGCTGAGCAGAGAGCCTGATGCGGGGCTTGATCCCAGGACCCTGAGATCATGACCTGAGCCGAAGGCAGGGGCTTTAACCCACTGAGCCACCCAAGTGCCCCCCACCCCGTTCTCTTTTTCTTCACCAATGTTTGTTCTCAAGTGGATTATAGTGGTGGCTGTGAGAAGACACATCCCTGACCCTTGGCTTGAGGGTATGTAACTGATCCCTGGCCCTGGCTGTGTGCTCTCAAATCTGATGCCATGTGCGCTCTTAGAATGCACTTCCTCTAAAATTCCTCCAGCCTGTCCTTGAGAACAGCACAGAAACTGAGGCAGAACTCTTTCTTCTCTGCAGGCTGACTGAGGCTCCAGGGCTTCCTGATACCCTGATGAACTTGCCTGACTGCACTGGGTCTAGGATGCTTCCAGCCAAACTTCCTTCTCTCTCCTTCCCTCGGATTCAGACTTGCATCAAGATTTGCTGTTCTTCCAGCCTTTCTGGCTCCTTTGCCATGTCTTCTCACAAGGGTTTCTCCTAACACATTCCTCACAGTCAGTGCCCCTGTGGGGAAAACCCAAGATCCTGCAGACATGATCAAGTTCCTCCCAGTGGATGCCCTTCAGCACACTCTGGACACATGAAGGAGTCTCGCCCTTCTCTAGTAATGGTTAACATTTCCTGTGCTGGAAGATGGTGCAGATGCAAGTGGTATCTACTCAGTAGCTTTGTGAGAACTACCTAGCATCATGTGAAGGAGCATGAACAGTAGCTCTGGGATTGGATTCTGAGGGTGTTTGATCAAGGGGCCAGAATATCAGGATGGAGAAGGGAAAATGCATTGACTAGGAGCACTTTTCAGGATGTGGGTTTATCCAGGAGCCCAGGACATGGGGCAATATCACCATTGGGGTGGCTCTATGTAGACGGGGAAAGTGGTGTCCAACTCTCCACAAGGTAGACATGACTTAGTTGCCCTAATAAAGAGACAGTAAAACTTGGGATAAAGAAGCTGAAGGAAGTAGACATGCAGAATGCAGGTATTATGTGTAGAAAGAAGACCCACCAGATGATTACATTCCACAAGAGGATCCCGAAGACTCACCATTCCTGAAAGTCATCAGCAAAGTGTTAGGGCATCACTAGAAATTTGAGGGTACTTTCCTCTACAGGGCAGAGATCAGGCAGGACAGATGTCCTAGAGTTGGCTCATTAATATCAGTGGGGATGAACGGGCCCTGAAGAGACAGGTGGGAGCTCCATGAAAGGTAGATTGGATGAAGGACCTCTTCCCCCAGGTATTCAAACACTGATGTAGATGTTGTTGGCCAGGGACCTTGCAGATATAAGTGAGGTCTCAAATCAGCTGACTTTATGACAGAGAGATTCCCCTGTCTTGGATTCTCCTGATCAGGTAAGTATTTAATTAATTAATTAATTAATTTTGCCTTTAGTTTTTTTAATTATGTTCGGTTAGCCAGCATGTGGTACATCATAAGTTTTTGTTGTAGTGTCCAATGATTCAATAGTTGTGTATAAAACCCCATGCTCATCCCAACATGCGCCCTCCTTAATACCCATCATCTAGTCACCCCAGACTCCCACCCACCTCCCTTCTGTAAACCTCTGTTTCCTGGAATCCACAATCCCTCATAGTTTGTCTCCTTCTCTGATTTCTTCCCATTCAGTTTCCCCTCCCTTCCCCTGTGGTTCTGCATGCTATTCCTTATGTTCTACATATGAGAGAAACCATATGATAATCATCTTTCTCTGCTTAACTTATTTCTCTTAGAATAATCCCCTCCAATTCCATCCATGTTGAAGCAAATGGTGGGTATTCATCCTTTCTGATGACTAATACTCCATTCTATTTATGTACCACATCTTTTTTATCCATTCCTCTGTTGAAGGACATCTTGGTTCCTTCCATAGTTTGGCTGTTGTGGACATTGCTCCTATGAACATTGGGGTGCATGTGCCCCTTCTTTTTACTACATCTGTATTTTGGGGGTAAATGTCTAGTAGTATAATTCCTGAATCATAGGGTAGCTCTATTTTTAATGTCTTGAGGAAGCTCCATACTGTTTTTTAGAATGGTTGTACCAGGTTGTAGTCCCATCAACAATGAAAGTGGGTCCCCTTTCTCCACAACCCTGCCAACAATTTCTTTTTCCTGTCTTGTTAATTTTGGCCATTCTAGCTGGTATAAGGTGGTATCTCATTTATCTCATTGTGGTTTTGATTTGTATTTCCCTGATGGTTAGAGATGTTGAACATTTTTTCATGTGTCTGTTAGCTATTTGAATGTTTTCTTTGGAGAAGTGTTTGCTCATGTTTTCTGCCCATTTCATGACTGGATTATTTGCTTTTTGGGTTATTGAGTTTGATAAGTTCTTTATATCTTGATATAAAGATCTTGGATATCAATATATCCAAGATCTTTATAGATCTTGGATATCAGCCCTTTATCTGAAATGTCATTTGCAAATATCTTCTCCCATTCTGGGGATTGCCTTTGTTTTGTTGACTGTTTCCTTTGCTGTGCAAAAGCTTTTTATCTTGATAAAGTCCCAAAAGTTCATTTTTGCTTTTGTTTCCCTTGCCTTTAGAGACGTGACTTAAAAGAAGTTGTTGTGGCCGATGTCAAAAAGGTTCCTGACTATGTTCTCCTCTGGGATTTTGATGGATTCCTGTCTTACATTTAGGTCTTTCATCCATTTTGAGTTTATTTTTGTGTATGGTGTAAGAGAATATTTCATTCTTCTGAATGTGGCTGTCCAGTTTCTCCAGGATTATTTATTGAAGAGACTGTCTTTTTTCCATTGGCTATTCTTTCCTGATTTGTTGAAGATTATTAGTTGGCCATAGAGTTGAGGGTCCATTTCTGGACTCTCTATTCTGTTCCATTGATTTGTATGTCTGATTTTGTGCCAATACCATGCTGTCTTGATAGTCACTGTTTTGTAATATAGCTTGAAGTCAAGCATTGTGATGCCCCCAGCTTCAGTTTTCTTTATCAGCATTCCCCTGGTGATTTGTGGTCTTTTCTGATTCCATACAAATTTTAGGATTATTTGTTCCACCTCTGTGAAGAATGTCAATGGCAATTGAAAGGGATTGCATTGAAAGTGTGGATTGCTCTGGGCAGCATAGACATATTCATAATGTTTATTCTTCCAATCCATGAGCATAGAATGTTTTTCCATCTCTTTGTGTCTTCCTCAATTTCTTTTTTTTTTAAAGATTTTATTTATTTATTTGACAGAGAGAGATCACAAGTAGGCAGAGAGGCAGGCAGAGAGAGAGAGAGAGAGGAGGAAGCAGGCTCCCTGCTGAGCAGAGAGCCCGATGCGGGACTAGATCCCAGGACCCTGAGGTCATGACCTGAGCTGTAGACAGAGGCTTAACCCACTGAGCCACCCAGGTGCCCCCTTCCTCAATTTCTTTGTAAGTGTTCTGTAGTTTCTAGAGTATAAATCCTTTACCTCTTTGGTTAGGTTTATTCCAAGGTATTTGATGGTTTTTGGTACTATTGCAAATGGAATCCATTCCTTAATTTCTCTTTCTTCAGTCA